ATAGATGTTATTAATTTATTTGTTTTTAATAACAATAAAACAATACCTTGAAAATTATGCACTCTACTGTAAGCAGGTAGCCAGGTGGTCGCCACCTAGTGCCTCCGCTCAGTTTCGTTTCTCTCCAGCGATGAGGTCAGGAATCAAAATACAATAGACTGTTTGCAAAAACCTCGGAAGTGCAAGTTCAGGCACCAGCCAATCAGCAAAGAGACATATATTTAGTGTTGTCAACAATTCCTGAGATCGAGGGTTTAAAGCCGGAATAAAGAAAATGTTTGGTGAATTTCATCAAGGGGAAAGACGTTATTGCCCTTCTTCTTGTGGGATTTGGGAAAAGCTTAAAATACTAGTTAGCCCTGTTAGCAGCACATTACATATGTGACTACCAAATAGCAGCGATTGGTTAAATGAAAAAAAGTACCCGCCTACCGTTGAGCGAACGAAATCCAACACTGCAAGGTCAGACGGTGTGTACGAAGTGAAATGAAGTAAAAACGGGTGATGAAGCAGGCCCACCTCTCTACAAATCTGGCCTGTAAATGAGCAAAGTGTCTCCCTGGAAACAGAGAAGTTTAATATCACACTGTGAAAAATTCCAATCAACGCAACAACATCTCCATGGTGGCGGACTCTTCAGTCCAAGTTACACTCCAAGTTACACAGTGCACCTTTAATAAATAAATAATACAGTTTTAATCATCTTTGAGTGACACAACATAATTTAAATGCATTATTTTACAGACATTTAGAAGATAAAGTGATACAAGCCTTGCTATAGCTTCGCAACTGGTTCTGGTTTGGGACATTAAAATACATATGAATAAATGCATTTTCTCTGATGATAAATTACAACCACTCATTCTTTTGAAGTCCAAGGAGAAAAGCAAATGAAGCAGAGAGCAGCTTGACCACAAAGAAGAGACAGTGCATTAAGATTCAGGGCCAAATGTTTAGTGTTTACCCCAAACTGAACAAGGACATGGCGATCTCTTGGCTCCTGATTTTCGAGCGGATGGGCCAATTTCTAATTCAGCTATGCATAACTTTCCTTCATTGACAGGCAAGCCAGAGATTCCACATATTCCTTTGATAGATTTGTCCAGTTTAAGTCACACAAAGAGAAGAATTACAGTAACTCCAGCAGACCAGCAGGAATGTGGCCAGGCAGCATGTACGGACAAGCCCAGCGCACACTCACACTCTCGGATAAACAGGACAAAGCACTGGGAGACTACAAAGGTTCAACTCTGTCTGAGGGCACGAGGTCAAACATTATACTAATTATGTCAAATGTATATGTCCAGAATTTGATTTGAATTAGATTAGATTAGATTTCAGGAATACACACAAAGGTGACTGATAACTGATTACTTTTTCTTTACTACATTCTACATGTGTCCATTCAGAGTTTTGATGCCTTCGCTGAAAATGTATAAACAAATAATCATGAAAATAAATGAAAAAATGTGTCCAAACTTTTGATTGGTAGTGTATATTGCCTAATAAGATAAATTCAGAATCAGAAACAGAAAGATTTTGTGACTGTGAGTGAACAAATTTCACAAACTAGGAAATTGTTTTGGTATCATGGTGCAACATAAAGCAGCGAATAATGTATTTTTGAGGTGCAGGGTTTTGCTATCTGCTTGTCTCCATGGAGATGTTATTGCTTTGCTTGGAATGTTCCTCTATATGGCATTAAATGTTTCTGTCTTGCATTTATTAAATTACAAATAACTTATAAAAAATGCATTCTTACTGCTGACTGACCTTGGCCTGGTGTAGTCAGAGCAGAGACTGTAGTTTTTCAAACAGAGGAAGCGCTTTACATTTTCATTTTTATCATGTGCTCTTATTTTAAACTGCCTTAAATAACTTAGTGGATTTTTTTAAATTTTTAATTTTTTTTTTCTTGCATTTTTATTGGACAATGTCTCTGCCTGCCACGCAAGAAAATCACGGGTAAACTCATAATCCTCTTTTTATTTTAAATCTTGATTATTTAAAACACAAATAAATCAGATTAATTTGATTAACTTCCCAGTCCTGGCCTGGTGGCTTGTTTATTTGGAGATAGATGAGTTAAATGCCGTACTATGGAACATTCAAGATAAAGCAATAACATCCCTATGGAGACAAGCTGGCGAACCTCCCTCCAGAAAAGTTAGCGCACTTTTAAGTTACCAGGCTACCAATAACAGTATATCATACAGACATGCTTTTTTAAAACTTACCTTAAACCTTGTGCATTGAGTTATTACATTGTCATTCTGCAGTTACAGTCATATTCATCATCCTACTCTATAGCATCTGGTTGTTTCTCTGCATTTCTCATCTATAATACATCAAATCAATGTTTACACGTTAGTAGGAAAAAACCTGTAGAGGTATGAATGTTCGTTTTTAAAATAATAATTAACAATCTTATTATGTGGTTTCCTTAAATGACCATAGTGTATTTTTCCCAACAAGTACCATTAATTGACCTTCACTGTGGTTCTCCTTGGGGTTTCTTTTTCAAACTGGATTTTTAATTTTTTTTTCTTTTGTCGAGACACAGGGTCTAAAGAGAAATTGTTAGCTTTATTAAGTGCTTCTCCTCCATCAAACCGCTTTATATCAAGGAACCACTCGCCCTTCATCTGTTGGAGCTGGAATCACGCCTCCAACCTGTGGGTCAGTGGCTCTAACCACTCAGTGTTTATATTGAAGGCAGGATTTGAACTGCCAACCTTTGGATCAGTGGACAAACTACCAACTGAGCTACTGTTGTTATCCATACTTGTTTCCTATGAATATTGGTTAATCTACATGTCTGTTATTCATGTATCAATTACTGTTGAACTGTTTGATTTTCTAACTTTCTGCTGGTTAAATGTAGCCAGGCTGGCACCACCTAGTGCTTCCTTTCAATTTCATTTCTCTCCAGCGACTAGGTCAGGAATTGGAATACACTAGACAGTTTCCAAGAAAGTTGTAGGCTGCACCTCTGCCAATCAGCGAAGAACTGAACCAACCTGAGTTGCGATAACAGACTGCCTATGCTATCCTTCCTTGGATTTCCTTTGTCAAATATTTGTATTGCACCTTCTTGTAGAAACGACAATGATCGTTGACAGACATGTTCACCCTCTGCTTTGTTTGCTGTTGTGTCAGCAATTTCTTGGACACCACTGAGCGTTCCAGCGTATTACACACGTCACAACCAAATAGCAGCGATTGTGTAAATAAAAAAAGTACCGCCTACCGTAAAGCGAACAAATTCTGAGCAAGTGAAACCGGCTGATGAATCAGGCTAGGTTAAAGGTGCACTGTGTAACTTTTCTGGTCAAGGGCACTGTGAACTGAACTCTTGGCCTGGTGATGTCTTATGCTTGTAACCATGGAGATAGATAAGTTTAAATGCCTAACTGTGAAACATTTTAGGCAAAGCAATAAAAGGGCTTTAAAGGAGCACTGCGCTACTTTTCTGGCAGAGGGTCCGCTGCCTACTTGTCTCCATGGAGATATTATTGCTTTCCCTGGAATGTTCCATGGTATGACATTAAACATATCCATCTAGCATTTATTCATTGTGTGTTATTGCTCCAAAATACAGTAATTTCTTCTGTAAATAGGGTTTCATCTCCACAGATCTGAATTGTAATGTAGCATAATGCATAATACCTGCTTGTCTCCCTTGTGATAAACAAAATCCACAATATTTCCACGGAGACAAGCAGGTGACAAAAATGTTACGCAGTGCACCTTTAAGATGAGCTGGTTGCCGGAGCACCAGAACCCCTTTAGATTAACATTTTTGCTAAGCCGTATGATGTGACGGTTCTACAAAAATTAATTAAACTGAAGTCGGCTATATCTGGTTGGCCTATGTACGTCATAAAATATCTGTTATTACAATTAGACATAGTGTTACAATACTATCATAACCAACGCTGTATATTTGTGGTCTCATAAAGGGATGATTTCGACTTGTAAGTTTTATTTCCGTGGACTTCCTCTTCCAGCTTCCCCGCCTTAGACCACAGCAGGACCACAGCAGGCCCACATCAGTGCAGAGGGCAGCGGTCACAGATGAGTTTCCCAGGGTTGTACCACATCTCAGCCCTGTCACTTCTGTATTGGGGCTTTTCTGTGTTTTTCCTCGCTCTGATGAAGTCATTTTTGTTTTTAACTTTAATGACTTGGGCTTGGTCACTCCGGACATTTCCTCTGCTCTCCTCTACTGTGTGAAGTTTGCAGCCGCTGTCCATAAGAGGGCGCTGTTTCACACATGAGCGGTCAGGTGCACTGGCGACAGGCCGCTGAGGTTACTCGCCTTTTTATGAATGGAAATACAGTGTTGGAAATACTATAAAGGCAAAACGTTTTAAATATGCTGTGAAATGTTCAAGTCAACCAAGGTTTTTAAATATTAATCCTCAATTTGCCATTCAGCCTATATTTTAAATTATTTTACCCATTTGTTAAATTAAGTATGCGTAATCTCCCCTTTAAATTGTACATTCATAGACATAATTCTTTTGTAATGGCTACTTAATGTGCATTATTTATGAACACGCATGCGTATTAGTGTTGTCACCTCAAAGCTCCGGTGAAATTGCTAATTTTAAGATATTAATTTTGCACCGGATATTAAAAACAGAGTACAACTCATTTGCCAATGCTGCCAAAAACGTGATCTGCCTACCTGTCCACACTGTCAATGTTGTAGTTTTATATTTTTATTTTTTAATTATTGCATTATGTTTTTAATATCTTTTGGCCACATAGCAGAGCACCTGTAGTTTATCAAGTTGACCCACTGAAGCACTCAATTTCCCCAGTTTTTTCACGTGAATTCTGCAGTCTTTACAAAACAAAGTCATTTATAATTGTAACAGGGATAAGTGCATAACTTTTTCAAACAGCTGTTCAATGCACCCCGAGCCCAGCCTCTCGTCTCTCCCTCCCCGGTCCCTCCTCCTCCTCCTTGGTTCACACTCCAGTACCGCCGCTTCCTCGCTGCTGCAGGTTGAATCAGTTGCCCTTGTTTCCTGTCACATGGCTTGGAAATCGGATCCCTGCTTTCTACTATCTGCTCTCGTCGCCGTGGTGGTGTCAGTCCAGTTGCAGTAGTAGTAACTTGGAGACGTATCAACTTTTACTTGGAGTTGTAACGAGGAGCGAAGAGAGCGACGCGAAGTCCCCCCAGTATCCGGTGTGCAGGCATCGCTTCCCCGATCCGTAGTCCACCTGAGGTCCTTCAACCTGTCCTTGCGCCGTATCCCCCCTCACCATGGATGCCTGGACAGTCACCTCCGCGCTGTTCCTCGCTGGGTTCATCTCTTCAGCGGCTTTCAGTCATTTTGACACGGGTAAGTCTAAACTTTTCTGTCACCATTTTCCCAAGTGACAACACTGTTCCCGTTCTGTGGTGTCTTTTACGCGCCGAGCAAATCTTTACGTTGTATGCGCAAAACAGCCAATACGCACAAAAAATTGTTAATTGTGTTATTATTTAGCTTTGACATATTGTTACACATGTTATTACGATATAATAGTGAGCGAGTTTGACTCTGCGAAGTGTTCACACTATAGACTGTTTGGGTCACACTTGGTCCTGGTTTGAGCCCAGTTTAGTCCTTTTTTAGGTTTAGGATTAGTCCCGAATGTCCTAGTTTAGTTTTGATGTGGTCTATGCAAGTGCGAATTCTCATTAACAAAACAAACCATATTACGTTGTTTTTTGATGTGTGAGCTCATCTGGACTCCTGCCACCACGGATGAGAAATTATATGTTTATTAGTCTGTTTCCAATCCCTCCCTCATACACACAACAGACAGTGACAGTCTGATCTTTACGCACTCCTTGGTAAACACTTGTGCGTATCCATAGTCGCATTATCACGCAACTCACTTGACTCTGCACGTAGACCTGTCTGTATCGCCTATACGTGAACGCCTGCCCTCTTCCTCCTCAAATTAGTATTAGTGCAATCGTCTACTATGTTGTCACTGTCATGGCTACACCTGAAATGAACTCAAAAGTGCACGCAGACATTTGATAAGCTGCTTTGATATGGCCTCAAGTTCAGACTAATTCCGATACGGTTAGTTCCTGACGCACGTGTGCTGAATCCTAACCTCTTTCCCCGTCCCATGTTTAGACCCAAAAAACGTGGATGTCTAATAACGATGACCGCACAAACCAAGCCTCTTCTCGCTGTAATTTACTCCGCGTTTCATGTCAAGGCACCAAATCCGTACGCTTTCCTTTTTAATTTTTTTGTCTCTTAATTACAGCCTTGGATTTCAAATTAGAGGGTCTAGCATCTGGGCTCGTACGTAACTGCTCCCATGTGTACCTATGTATTAACAAAGTATTTAAAGCAATGGTATTCCCCCTCGTAACGCTGGGGTTTATGTCGAGTGGAAGTCAGCTGTGCCTTATGTAGTCTACAGTAAAACATCATTATATGGACAGCATATGGTTGTAACGGGATATAGGCCTATTTCATGCTTTACCGTGTTTCATATAATGTGCTCACTGTGAAATTAAGTGGTCAGTAGAGGTTAAAACATCAACCTGTCTGCGCCTTTCACCTGTTACGGATTTAAGCACTTGTTAGTAAGGCCTATGCTTATTACAAAAAACTACAAAAAGACTGTACCTGTAGTCCCTTGGAACCAAAATTAGGCCTGTCACAATAATTACTATATAGAAAACATTCAACGTTCCATATATGAATGCTAGAAAAATGTATTTTGGGGTCTGTATTTATATTTTGAGGTCAGTATTTATCATATGTGTACATTTTCCTTGCACCTCTGGGAAATTTGTGGTCTTTTTCTTAGGTTAGAGTGACATTGGCTTGAATTAGTTTCAGTATTATCATTTATCGTCTATATTTACTTCGCTGATACATCGTACGTCAAGATTTATTATCATGACAAGCCTCACCAAAAGGTGAAACTGCGAGAGATTTTCCTCTTTTGTGTCCTTTAAATTAGTCAGTCAGCAGTGAGAAACCATCTTAATGATTTAGGTGCAAATAAGATGCTAAAAGATTCAAAATGTTGTATAAGTTGTAATGAATAACTTGTAATCTCATAACTCAAAATGCCCCGATGTGACTGGAGAGCACGGAAACACTGCAACTCACAGCAGTTAATCAAAGCTGACAACGCAAACCCAGCAGAGATTTTTCTATAGAGAAGAAATATTTTTTGTCATTGTAGCATCAAAAAGTGGCAGAACTTTATACCACAACTGAAACTAAGTTGCTTTAGGTGAATATAGCATTTTCAAAACAATAAAATGTAACATGATGATCTAAATATAAATACTGTATTAAGAATGCACCGATCCAGCTTTTTCAGTTCTGATACAGATGCCGATACTTTAGCAAAATAAATAAAAGTTCAAACATTCTGAGATTTTCTGGGCCGAATATGACCATTAAATAGTAGGGGTGTAATGATATCCAAGTCTCATGATACAATATTGTCACGGTATGAACCTCACAGTACGATATTTATTGCGGTATCATGGGAGAGCTCACAATATGATGGGGAGGCTCACGATTAGGGATGTAACAATATCCAAATCTCTCAGTACAATATTTTCACATCTCACGGTATGATATTGTTGCAATATTTTGTTTCAAGCAAACAAAACTGTTAATATGCAAGTTTTTCCTCTTAAAATGCCTTGGCAAGACTTAATCCAAAGAACTAAGACTTAAAAGTGCTTAGAACTGTTATTTCTTCATGTAGTCTACACTGAAATGGAGCAAAGGATCGTGGTCTATGTAGTTCCCTCTGTCTTTTTTAGCTATTGCTGCACCATAACTTTTAATTTAAGTAAAGAGATGCATAATTAAATATATTGTGATGGTCCAGGATATTATTGTGAGAACTTTGATGATACGATATCACATTTCGATTATTTTTACATCCCTAGTAAATAGTCTCATTACATCAATTTATCTGCCAAACCAAGATATTGATTGAACCGATATTTGGAAGCCGATATCAGACACCAGTATCATATCAGTGCATTCATACTAAAATATGTCATATGCTATAGCAGTTAGGTCTCCATAGAAGTGTAATACCCGAGAGACCGATAGTCGACAAGTACCGTAAGGGAAAGTTGAAAAGAGTGGGGTGGGGTCCACACAGTCCGCCCGGGGGATTCAACTCGGCGGGTCAGGGACGGCCGCCCGGTGCAGCCCCCTCTTTCATTTTCTGTCATTACTGTTTTCTCATAATCCCACTAAACTGTAGAACATGAAACCAATCTATTACCAATTTTCAGGCAAAGAGCCAGTGCCAATTCAGCTATCAAATCTGATAAGATGCAAATTAATACCATTTCAGTTTTACCTTTGAAATATGAGCCCTGACATGTCGAACTACCAAAATATGTTTCTACCAACGGGACATGTTTACCAGGTGATGTTATTTCAGGGCTCAATTCTGACAAGTGCAGATTTGCATATTCAAAGGTGTACTGTGTAACCTTTTGGCGGAGGATCCATCATTTGCTTGCCTCTATGGTGACGTTATTGCTTTGCCTGGGATGTTCCACTGTACAGGATTAAACAAATATACCTTGTATTTATTCAACCACTACCACAAAAATTTTCATTATTAACATGAGTATGCCCACTTCTCCACAGATCTGACCTGTAACTTGGTCTGGTGATGTGTAGGGGTGTGCAAAAATATTGAAATATTGATATATCGTATCGTTTAATGTGATGATACAGTACTGATATTGTGGGCTGCTGTATCGATATATCAGCAAGAGTATTTTTTTATATATTTTACTAAATTATTTTGTTACAGTGCTACAGTTTTGTTGCTTGTTTAGAGGAAGGAAACTGTTTTATGTGACACATTTGACATATTCACTGTTTTGAGGATTAAAATGTTTGTGTTTCATATGAACTTTGCACAAGAAGTGGTTTAACAAGGACTTTTAGTATCACATCCATGACTTAGAAATTATTTTTATTGTACTGTATCGAATCGATTTGAAATATATTGTATCGAATCAAAAGTCCACTGTATCGAGATATGTATTTTATCAGGGCCTATGTATCGAAATATGTATTGTATCTGCAACTTCTTAATGACACCCAGCCCTAGTGATGTGGTCTGCTTGTCTCCATGGAAATAGTTAAATGCCATGCTGTAGAACATTCCAGGAAACAACAATAGCATCTACATGGAGTCAAGCAGATGGTGGACCCTCTACTAGAAAAGTTATGCAATGCACCTTTAAACCCCACTGAGTTTCCGTGTCCGCTCTTGCTACAGTGTTAATACTACAGTGGCTTAGTGACAGCCGCACATCACAAACAGTTTCACAAAGTGCTTTTAAGGACCTGGGAGGTTGCGACACTGAATAAAACTAAACTGTTAAGGAGACAAATGAGGACAGCAACTGCAAATGTGTCCCCTGCTCTGTCTGTGCTGGCAGCATGTTATGACAGAAGACTGGAGTTTGACTTTCTAGTTCTTAAAGGTCTCATATTACACTATTTTTTTATTGATGTTATAATGTTATCTCATCACACACATACCTGGAGCTGTGTTTTGTTTCATTCACATATTTAACACACAAATCCTGCATATTTAGGCTGAGTTCTCTCAAGCTGAAAACACTCCATACACTTTCACTTGAATCATTTGGTTAATTTCTTAACTTGAAAACTACAGAGCTTTTTGAGCTATGGAGCTGCAGAAACTAATTATAAAGGATACTCAAAAATGTTTGAATGAAACAAAATTAGCTCCAGGTATAGTAGTTGATGAGGTAACAACATTATAACATGACATAAAGCTCACAAGAGTCAATTGCATAATATAAGACCTTTACAATACATAAAAGCCGGTTGCATGTGAAGGGGATTTAGCCTGTTAACTGTAGTCATGAAACTGTACTTTAATGCAGAATATAATGAGAAAACAGGTTCACCCACCTCCATATGGCAGTCTTGTTTAAGGTCTGACAACCTGCTTTCATTTCCAGACTCTCCAGCGCTGCTCTTGTGGCAGGTGCACTCACACACATGTTCGTGAGAGCAGGAGCAGCACCTGTCAGCCTGTCACTGTAATGTGTAATTGAGTTGCCCCGTAAGCTGCTAATGGTCTTGCACCGATAGTGTCAGAATCCTACAGACTCAAAACGATGTTAATATGTCAGAATATGGCTTGTTCCTGCTATTCATGAGACTGTTTGTGATGAATGGAGTGGGTGAAATAAAACCGGGAACTTTATTCAATTCTATGTGTGGAAAAAACTGAAACAGTAATTTATCCCTTGCATGAAAGAGGCTAAAAACAATAGCTTCTATTTGACATG